TTCACGCGGCCGTCTCCTGCGGTGATCTGTTGGGACTTCAGGACAGTTTGGATGAGAAGAATGATTACGTGACGGCTAAGGATCACTTGGGAATGGCTCCCATACATAAGGCCACGATTATGGGACACATAGACGTCGTGGAGTATATTTTGGACAAGTACCCTGATACTGTCAACTGCAGAGATAAGGAGGGTCGCACGGCTTTGCATTATTCGGCGGCCACCACTAATAGGAATGGCAGCAAAATCTATAAAATGCTTATTAGGGCCGGCGCTGACCCTAGGATTAGGGATTCTGTAAGTTATTTACGTTTCTTACTATATTTCTACACTATTTATATTAATATTAAGTTAGTTACTTGTCTTTATCAAATAATTAGTTATATAGTTAACTAAAAGACATTAGTAAAAGTCAGTAGTTTATATTGAGTGGTATTAAATATTATTATTTTTAACATTGCATTTATCTTCACTTGTTAATAATATTTATAATTATTAATTTTGTTTAATGTTACTTAACTTATTAATTAATATTCAGTACTCGCACTCAAAATGCATTAGAATTGATATAAATTTAAATGTAACTTTATTTTTAAGAGCTCATGGTATAGACAACTCGTGATTGTGGTTACAATTTAATGTTACTTATTATAAGACGTCTAAACTCTAGATTACAGTGTATTTCTTATATTTTCAGTAATATATTATAAATAATCCGGTACTAGTTATTATCTGTACTTTTTCATTAAAAGTAATATTTGTAAATAACCCTTAAAATACAGAATACGGTATATTAGCTATTATTTATTAATGTGACTTGAGTGAGAAAATAGGACTTTCTGTTAAAATAATTGAATATTAAATTAGAAATTCATTAGCGGTTTGTGACATACATTTAGTATTCAAATCAAATGCGGTATAAAAACAAAATTTAACAGCCTTATTCAAGAGATAGCCGACAAAGTGTGTTAACATCGCTGGAAAGGCTCACCAGAAAAATGGATTTAATAGATAAATAACTCAAATGTAAATGTGATTAAGAATTATGTCATAACTATAATCATAATAATAATCCTTAATGTTATGTAATATAAGTGTTTTGGGAACAGAGGAGTCAGACATTTAGGGCTAAATTACTTATAGAGAGCACAGAATATTCTTTAACAGCACTTAATATAATTTATTCACACAATTAAACCACTCTATTGTGCAGAATTCAGCGGTAGTTTTGTTTTAGAGATTAGTATATTGTGTCCGCAAATGACATTTCACTCATTAGATGCCCCATCACTTCAGATTGAGACTCAGAATATTAGTTTAAATGCTCTCTCTCTCTCTCTCTCTCTCTCTCTCTCTCTCTCCACTCTTTATCTATATGTTTAACTCTATATTGCAATCAATTATTGATTAACAATTTATAAGTCAATTACATCTTAAACTAAAAATAATGAATGCAAGAAACTAAAGCTATTGATTAGTACATTAATTCATACAAATGATAATTTAGTTTTTATTATAATTTCTTTGTGTTTCTTAATATGATATTTAAAATTATAATTTTGTAATTATAATTTCTGTTTTATGTTTTATTGTTACCATAATTACAATATTATCTCCACAGTAGTTAACGCTATTAGTATTGATTAAAATAATGAGAAAAGTTTTTGTTACATTAAATTTTAAAAGTAATAGATGAATTATAAATATTTATTCATACAAAAAAACAAATATTTTTATTTAACTTTCAAAGCCCATTACCGTAAATATTGTACATTTGTATAACTCATATAATAATTAAATTTAAACTATATTACAATTTTAAAAATATTATAATCAACCCTGAACAGAGTGGCAAAACGGCCGAGTATTATAGAGTACACCTGTTGTCGCTTCCCAACGAATTATCGCGAATTAATAGCCGGAAAAAACTGAATCCCATCTCATATGCGACCGACCCGTCCAACACCAAAAAGCGTCCCCTAGTCTTACCCAACATTCAGGACCGCATCTGTCAAGCCTTAAACGATGGCGACGCCAAACAGCTCCAGGAGCTGGTGCTCGACGTATCTCATATGCGACCGACCCGTCCAACACCAAAAAGCGTCCCCTAGTCTTACCCAACATTCAGGACCGCATCTGTCAAGCCTTAAACGATGGCGACGCCAAACAGCTCCAGGAGCTGGTGCTCGACGGCTACGGCGATACACTGTTTGGTAGGACCTCCTGGGGCGAGGAGGCCCGCAAGTTCCTCAAAGGTCTGCCACATCTCATGGACCAGATTAGGACACTCCACGCCTCCACCATCAATGGGGACATACCTAACGTGGAGCGCATTCTGGCCGACGACTCGTCGCTCATTAGGGCCAGGGATGAGAACGGATTACTGCCCATACATATAGCCACAGCACATAATCAGCCCGAAGTTGTCGCCTATTTTATCACTAATTACCCGCAATGTCTTCAGCTTAAAGATAGTGTGAGTTATTTGTGGTTATTGTCTAAAAGTATTCTGATCAATTCTATGTAAAATTATATATAATACATACAGTATTCTGTATATTCATTATATATGTATACTTATTATTCTGTATATTTTATATTCTGCGTTACTATTCAATGCATTTTCATACTTATATTGAATGTCACAACAGAGTGGACGGACAGCTCTGCACATATCGGCCCAGAATAAGACAATAGACATCTACCGACGACTGGTGGACGCGGGCGGTGATCCTAAAGTGATGGACAAAAACGGCAAAACCGCAGACCATTACCTCCGGCAGCAGACTATACAGGGCTTTGATTTCGTGTCGCCATTGAATGGCAAACAATTTACTGACACTAACACTAATATCGCTAATAATAACCATAATATAAGCAATGGTTTCGGTGATCAACACGAAAATGATATGAATGTTAGGAAAAACAGTAAACCGAGAGTCAAACCAGTGGTCAGTAATAACAGAGCGGTGGGAAAGTCGACTAAAGCCAAGCCCAGGGATGTTGGGAGTAGTGGTGGGGAATCCGTAGCCACAGACTCGTCCGATAGTAAATCCGGTGTTAATAACCAGCCAAAGAAAGTGTCGAAACCTGAGCCCACACCTAGAAATAGGTTACCGGCCATACAGTCCATAGATGAGAGCGCCGGCGGTTCCAATAAGAGTCAACCAAACGGTGTTAAGACAGATATTAGTGATACGACAACCACCGGCGCCCAAACCAATGAGTTGGCCTCATCGACACCAACTGCCACATCGACACCAACCGCCACATCGACAGCCAGTAGTACTATGAGTGAGGGAACGGTAGCCACGGATGAGTCGACCGGCCAGCCGGACGTGCCTAACACTGATGGGCAACAAGTTGTCGATAGTAGCGATGAAAGTGGTGTTACAGAGACATGTAATACAGAGGCGCTGAAGTCGTTAACTGCCGAACAAATGGATGATATTATTGCCAAGAATTCAGTTGCGGTTAAAGAGAGTCGAGGAGATGTTGTGGTGAAAGACTCGGATGAATCCGTCGCGAGAGACGACTCGCAAGTAATGGCATTAAGTAATGACGAGACGAGCGCTGATGTAATCAATGGCAACGAAGTCTCGCCAGAAGTTAATGAGGGCTCGAGAGGACTGAATGNTCGGCCACATTACCGCGGATGACGGTGTCGTGCACTGTCCTGATCTTGTTCATATAGGTGGGCACCAGGTCCAGGAAGTCCTGCACCTGACTCACGGGCGACTTCTTGCCGATGAGTCGCTCTCCCTGTCCGGCGATCACCACGTGCTCCAAGCGAAGCAGATCCGACTCCTTCAGCCACTTCTCGATCAAGTCGTTCAGACCATCTGTTTTTGGATTTTTTGTTTTTGTTATAATTCTTGTATTTATTAGGGTTTCAATGCTTTATTCATTAGATATTTATGTGCATCAGATTCAGTGCCGTGTTTATTATGTGATTTGTGGTCATAAAATAATTATAATGCGTTCAAATCAATTTTAGTTTATAAATTATTAATTACTAACTATTGTAGAATCTAGATACTTTATTTAATAATTTATAATAATATAATTCATATAAAAGTAATTTATTGTATTCTGTGCTAACATACGATATATTAAAATTTTATTACTTATAATCTATAATTTATACAGAATTTTTACAGAATATAGAAATATATAAGAATTATAATAAATTAAATGATGGAGATATCTCCCTTTGTATACATCTCTATTATATTAAATTAATACAGTACTACGGGTATTAAGAGAATTATTATATGATAGCAGAAATTCTTTACTAAATTATTGCTGTCATTTGATTTACCATATTATGAAATGAATTTCAGACATCTTTGAAAATAATATGAAAATCTATTTATAAATGTACTGAAAATAATATATTTTCTAATATAATAAAGAATATAATTTCCATTTATAAAAGCATGAAGTTATTAATTGCTATTATTTAGAATAAATAAATAGCTAAAGTTTATCAAATAATTAGCAAGTCCAACACATAATTATATATAATTTTATTTCAAAATAAATCCAAAAAAGTTAGAATTAAATTTAAATTTTTAAAAAGTTAGCTTTATTTGCGAGTGTATAATAAAAATTCATATACTGTTAAAATATGACAAAAACGTTAACTAATATTAAATAATTAAGCCTAATTATAAATCATTATTTCGGTATGTATTTTATCACCGCGTTTACCCCTTTCCCTAGGTATTTATTCATTATTTATAATTATAATAATTGCGATTTGTTGTTATGTTACGTTATGAATAACAGCAATCAATAACTCCACACAACACAAGAATATTCTGTGTATCGCAACACAAACAAAAGGACAGGACTTTTATGATAGGACTGCCAGCTCTGTCAGAAAGAGTAGATGCGTGAGTATATATGTATAAGAATACCGGTGCCATACAAGTGTCACAATAGCTGTCAAAATAAATACTTATCAAGGCAAATAATATTAGGCCATACCTGCTGCCGGCGGGTTAATTTGAGTCGTGCTAACGGTGCTCTGCCTACTAATCGTGCGCTCAAACGTCGACTGTTGGGTGGTTGACAGGCGATCCCCGGCGCCGGTAGCGCTCAGACCGGTCACGGCATCCGCGCTCTCATCCGTATTGTTATTGTCGTCAGTATTGGTCCCATCGTTAGCCACCACTCCGTTCGTGGCATTTGTCTCATCACTCGTCGACTTATCGTTCATCTCATTAGTTGTCGTTTCCTTCATGTCCTCAACAGTCGTGTCGTTATTATTCTTATCCCTCACTTCCGGCTCATCGACGACTTCGTTGACACCTTCGCCACCAGTTTGATCGATGGCCTCATTATTGTCGTCGACACCGTCGGCGACGCCATTGTCTTCGCGATTATCCATCATTTCTGTTGTTTTTTCTTCTGACACGTTATCGGCTGTCGCTTCCTCTGCGACCGGCGCTGACGTATCGCTGAGATCAGCCTCTGGTTCGCCAGACGTCTGGTCATCAATCACTTCATTTGGCATATCATCTGCCGGTGCGATGGCTGCAGACGACTCATCGACGGTGGTCTCAATCCTCTTCACTTCGTCCAACGACTCGTTTATCACATTTTCTATCACTTGTTCCGCCACTTCAAGCGTGGGATCCGCCGTCTCGGCGATCGACGACTGCTTCGGAAGGCCTTTCACCGAACCCTTCGACGATCGCCTGGAGGTCTGACTCTCGGCCGACGTCTGGCGCCGAGAGGGCGGATGCGAACCTGTCTTCGACGGGCGCCTGGAGTCAGATTGGTGTCCGTCGTTAGAGTCCACACTCGACTGCCGGGAAGGGCCGCCCTTTGAGCCCTTCCTCTCAATCTTATTCTCAGTGACCGACTGTTGCGACAGACTTCTGGAGAAACCTCTGGAGCGAGTGCTGGCCACCGATGACTTACGCGACTGTGGAACGGGTTTTGTCTCATTTTCCGCACCGGTATCTAAATTATAATAAAAATTGTTATAATTGTTACGTTTATTAACAATTCGTGTGCAGAATTACAAATGATATGGTAGCTAGCCCGGTAATCAAAGTAAATACCACAGTAAGTACCCTAATAGTCGCGAATTTTGAGGAAGTAATCGGCAGACATGCAGAACACTTTGGCGTCAGTGCGGCAGCTCCGGAAGCGTTGCCGCGGTTTCCATCGATTCCTCATTAGTATTGTTTGTCTGACTCCCCAATTGTCCGACACTCTCGTCATTTGTTTCAATATTTTCACTATTAATGTCTGGCTTACTATCACTCGTATTAGCAGTGATTATGTTGCTGTCTATTATAGCCAACCCATCATCCCTTTGCTTATCATCCGGTTGCTCACGACTACTACTACTACCACTGCCCACCACTTCGCTGGCATTACTGTCACTCGGCTTCTCCTCCTTATCAGTAATGATCGTATCGTTAATCTCCAGCGCCTTCACTGCCGGCTCAGCGATGATTGGCTCCTCATTCAGTCCTCTCGAGCCCTCATTAACTTCTGGCGAGACTTCGTTGCCATTGATTACATCAGCGCTCGTCTCGTCATTACTTAATGCCATTACTTGCGAGTCGTCTCTCGCGACGGATTCATCCGA